GTTTTGAACCCCAGCAAAATAAATATCCAATAAATACATTCATACAGCATCTTTCAGGAATGGCATTTCTTTACACCCTCCCAAGCCGTTTATAAATACATAATAAACCCCAATAATTTATAAAACACTGAAAAAATAAAAATAAATACTCCCTGAGTTCACATAAATAAGAACAAAATGCTTAAATAGGAAATACAGTCCAGCGATGCAATAAAAAAAATCAGTTTTCCCAGTCCTCGGGGCATCCTTAGGGGCTGGCAAGTGCCATGGTGTGCCATGGTGTGCCATGTCATGCCGTGTCATGCCGTGCTGTGCCGTGTCGTGCCATGCCATGTCGTGCCATGCTGTGCCATGCCATGCCATGCCATGCCATGCCGTGTCGTGTCGTGCCGTGTCGTGCCGTGCCATGCCATGCCATGCCATGCCGTGTCATGTCGTGCCGTGCCGTGTCGTGCCATGCCAGCCACGCTGCCGGCGGGGACTAAGCGCATGGCTCCTGTCCGGCTGCGCACCGCAGGTCATCCAACACTTGGAAGAGGTGGAAGATGGCAGAGGACGTCAGGCAGCTCGTGGTCTCCTGTGGCAGGGAGAAAAGGCGGGTTAGCACCAGAAACGGGGTGCAGCAGGTCCCCTGCAGCTTTGGGGTCACTAACACCCCCAGACCCCCTCTTCCCTGATGGCCTGACTTACCGTTTTCTTGGCTATCTGCAGCTTCTGCAGCCAGTGTCTCAGCTTCTTGGAGGGCTGATGCGAAGGAGCCTCCGTGGCCATCTGCAAGGAAAGTGGCTGCGTAAGGACTAGCCCCAGTTGCCAGCACCAGGGTTGCTGAGCCGGCACGGGGCCGGGGAGGCTCGGGAGGTGGGGGGGTGGCCACTCACACAGACTCGCAGGTCCTCCTGGGCTTGGGTGAGCAAGGCCAGGGGCCTCTGGTGGGTCTCGGTGAAGCTGTGGTCGTCGAGGAGCTCCAGCATGTCGGTGATGAGATCCAGCTCGGCTTTCACCAGCATCATTCTGTCGGGCACCTGCAGGTGGGACCATACTGGTTAGGGACCCAAAGTGCCAGGGCTGCAGGATGGGGGGGGGGGGAGTGGAGGTGAGACCTGCTGACAGGAGGTCCCATCTAGAGGGGTGGGTGTAGCCCCTTTGGCCAGCATGGCCTCGCTCTTACCGATAGCTCCTCTGACTCCCATTTCCGATGGAAGAGCCTGATGTTGCATCTGTGGTCTGATGGCAGCGGGATGCCCTCCTGCAGGCACGAACCGAGAGAGAGATTGAAAATCTGCCCTCTTCATTTTTGGCAATGTTGTACAACCCTGGTCAGCCTTGAGGGGTTTGAAACCAGGCTGAAGTTCAGCCCAGCATCCTTCTTAGAATCATAGAATCATAGAATGGTTAGAGTTGGAAGGGACCTTCAAGATCATTGAGTTCCCATTTAAAACCGTTCCCCCTTGTCCTGTCACTGCACTCCCTGACAAAGAGTCCCTCCCCAGCTCTCCTGGAGCTCCCTTCAGATATTGGAAGGCTGCTCGAAGGTCTCCCTGGAGCCTTCTCTTCTCCAGGCTGAACAACCCCAGCTCTCTCAGCCTGTCTTCACAGCAGAGGTGCTCCATCCCTCTGAGCATCTTTGCAGCCCTCTGCTGGACCCGTTCCAACAGGTCCATGTCCTTTCTGTGTTGAGGACTCCAAAACTCAAACTTGTCCCCAAACTCCCTTGGGAACCATGGAAAGACCTCCACCTTGTTACACGGTCTCTCGAATTCGGCATCCCCCTCCGCATTGCCCCCAGCCCCACCAACATCGCCGGCGGTACTCACAAAGTGCTCCTTCATCTTCATCATGGCCTTCATCTCCTGGGGCTCAAGGAAACGGTACTTGAACAGACTGCAGCCCTTCTTCAGGGCGTCCTGGGGGAAGGCAGCCCCAAAGTTGGCCGCCGACAGCCAGGCAAACAGCAGGACGAAGCCGCGCCGCAGCATTTTGTCCGACGAGAGCTCAAGATCAAGTCCTTTTCGACGGGATGAGAGGATGAACGGGAGCGCTCCGGGACGGATCTCCTAAATCCCTGATGTCGGTCTGGATGGCGGGTGGCTCCTTCTTCCGTGGGGCTGGTGGCTTCTTCTCGGGGATCCTTTTTCAACTCCTTTGCTTTGCTTGTTCTGATCTTGCTGCCCCATCTCCCCGGCTTTTTATACCTCCTGCCCGCCTCCATTGCGCTTTCAGCTTGGCAGGAAACCCCGCAGACCTTGCCGGTTCGGGAGACAGGAAAGCGAAAGCAGCGGGAATCCCGGCTCCCGCAGGTGCGGCAGAGGTGCGGGGTGGCCCCTCCCCCCCGCAAGGAAAAGAGAGGAGAGGAAGAGAGGAAAAAAGAGATTTATGAGTTTAGGACAAAATAATGAAATGGAAATATAAATAAGTAATGAAATAAGAAATAATAAGAGGAAAAGTTTAGAAAAAAGTAACAAAAGATAGATACTAGGAAGAAATTCTTTACAGTGAAGGTGGTGAGACACTGGAACAGGTTGCCCAGGGAGGTCGTGGATGCCCCATCCCTGGAGGGGTTCAAGGCCAGGCGGGATGGCTATTTGAGCAACCTGGTCTGGTGGGAGGTGTCCCTGCCCAGGGCAGGGGGTTGGAACTAGATGATCTTTAAGGTCCCTTCCAACCCAAACCATTCTATGATTCTATGAAAAAAAAGTATACAGTATATACAAAACCGTATCAAGCTCCAAGAATGATCATGACATCACCAGGAGGCACAGGGAACAGTCCCAGACTGGGCTTGGTGGTGGACACAAGCTGGATTCTGGATCTGGAGTCAGGAATTCTCGGATTGGGATCAAAGGCAGATGAACAGACAGGGTCCTCCTCAGACGTTGGCCATTGAACGAAGAGAGTTGACCCTTTGATCCCTCAGCATGATGCGGATGGGATGGAACAGCCTGTTGGTCAGTTTTGGGTCACCCCTCCTGTCCATTCCTCCCTACGGGGGTGACCCCTCTACGATTTTCCGCTTCCGAGCCTCCAACGGGCCATACAACAAATTTGGCTGACCCTGGTTGTTGCAGCAATAAGTATAAGCAGGAGCCTCTCTGCACACCATTCCTTGGTATCATCAGGTCTTATCACTCCGAGCGTGAACGGTTTCTGAACAACATGCTGTTAATTTCAGAGTTTCGTTAGTTAGAAGAGGCCCAGCTGAAAAAGTAAAATTACTGAAGAGAAAGTTAGTTCTGTTGTGCCCAATTCAGCAAAACCTGTCCTTCCCCTGAGGTGACCTCCTGCGACGTGAAGCCATCACTGCTGTGCTTTTAGTTTCATGCATTAAATGTAGAAAATTAGGGCAATACTTGTATCTAAAAAAGCAAATACACAGTAAAGCAGCAAAACGGGCATAAATGCACTTTGCAGTGCCTCACATGGTGGCCGTAGAACAACACTGCTCCAGAAGGACACAATTTTTAATGTTCATATTTGGAAATAAACTGCTGACTTCCAGGAGTCCAAGCAAACGAGAAAAGTTCTTGCACAAGCTTGTGGAGAAATACATCTACGGGTTGGCAGACCAGCATGGATGTGCTGTGCTGAGTGGTGGTGGTGGGCTGGGACCTCTGGACATTGTCCAATCCAACCCCTGCTCGAGCAGGGTCAGCTGGACCAGGTTCTCCAGTTTTGACTGTGAAGATGGAGACTCCACAGCCTCTCTGGTCAACCTGCTCCAGTGGTTGACCACCCTCATAGGAAAGAAGTGTTTTCTTGCGGTCAGATTGACTTTCACATATTTCAGGCTATGCCCAATGTCTGCTCTCCTGTCAGTAGGCACCACCAAAAGTCCATGAACCATCCTCTTCTCCAGGAGGAATGGCCCCAGTTCTCTCAGCCTTTCCTGGTAGGAGAGATGCTCCAGTCCTTTCACCATCTTCATTGTGCTTTGTTGGACTCTCACTAGTATATCCACGCCTCTCTCACACTGGGAAGCCAAGAACTGGACCCAGCACTTCAGAGGTGGCCTGGCCAGTGCCAAGTAGAGGGGAAGGATCACCTCCTGCTGGAAACAATCCTCCTAATGCAGCCCCAAGTACCATTTGCCTTCTTTGGCACAAGGCTCATGTTCAACCTGGTGTCCACCAGGACCCCCAGGGCCTTTTCTGCTCAGCTGCTTTCTATCTGGGCAGCCCCCAGCATACCCTGGTGCCTGGGGTTCTTCCTCCCCAGGTTCAAGACTTTGCCCTTCTCTTTGATGAACTTCATGAGGTTCCCACGTGCACATTTCTCCAGCCTGTGGAGGTCCCTCTGGATGGCAGCACGACCCTCTGGTGTGTCACCCACTGCTCCCAGGCTGGTGTCATGAGTGAAGTAGGTACACTGCAGGTACACTCTGCCTCATCATCCAGATCAGTAATGAAGAGGTTAAGCAGGACCGGTCCTTGACCTACAGGATCTATCCAGCCCTCCTTGAGGACCCCTTGCTGCCCCAACAGCATCTCAGAGAGCTCAGGTCTTTCCAGGATAACCACAGTGGAGGTGAAGAGAAGCTCTTCTTTCTCTCCCATTAAAGAAATGCACAGATTTAGAAGAATAATTTTTATTCAACACAGCAAGTTCGTGATGGACACAACTATTGAGATAAAAGCCCAGATCAGCACAAACAACTTCACATCCGTTTTCCCAGGTGAGGAATAGATGGCACCTTCACAGAAAATCCCAACGGATGTGAAAATTAATGTGGCCCCTGGTGAGGGAGGGGATGGAGCAGGGGTCCTGGTTCTGCCATGAGGTAGAGGCTCACAGGACAGGCACCATGGGGTGCACCAAGGTACAAGCCAGGCTGGGATCCCATTTTGGGATCTCCAGTGGCTGGGAGCAGCACTGGAGAGAGATGTCCAGCACTGAAGATGGTGATGTCCAGTGCTTGCTGTGCCAGAACAGCCCCATCTGCAGCCTGTGCTCCCCAAGCAGGGCTGGCCCCAGCTGAGGACAGTGCTGGGGACACTCTGAGGTCCCAGAGTGGCATCACATCCCTGCAGGGCCCACCTCCTTAGGTTCCTCTTCCCCGTCATTGTAGTTTTTCCATCCCGGGTGCCATTTCTGGTTGCAAAAGCAAAGTGAAACCTCATCTCTCCGCACAGGCAAAAGGAAATCGCGAGGCACCAAAGGAAAAGTGAAAGCCCAGCCAGGAATCCAGGGCCACACGCTTGGGGCGGCCGATGACGAAGACTTTGAAGATCTCCCGGGCACCTCGCTTAAGTGTTTGTGCCTCACTCGCCACCAGACGTTGCCAAACCCATGGGTGCCCGGCCAAACAGCAGCAAGGGCTTTTCCCTGGGAGGGATGTGGTCGTGCCATCCTGGGCATCGACACGCCGGCGAGCATCTCACATGGCAACACCACGGGGCTGCATTTGGCACAGCTCCTCCAAACCACGCTAGCACCGGCTCCTGCCACGATGCTGGAGGGTTCCCCCGAAGTCAGGCCTGGCTGGGGACACTACACCATGGCCAGCAGGGTCTGCAGGGCACTGGGGACCCGCCGCAGCCATCAGTCCATCCCCGGTGGGTCCCAGCCCCCAGCGAGGAACGTGGTGCAGCTGGTGATGGTGGAAGCCCCTCCTTGGATTCCTGCAGCCCAGCGAGGCTGGAGTGACGTGAACTTGCTTGGAACCAAAAAAAAAAATCCCAGGTACGTGGGAAGTCCTGGGTTCAAGAAGGAAAGCGAAAACGGGCAGGGCTGTCACCGGTGCCAGGTGAGGCAATCACCCCGTGACTCATCAGCCGCTGCGTGGCATGAACATGGAAGAACCTTGGCTACAAGCCATGCCACCGGCGTGGGTAAGGATGAGCCCACGTCACTCCTTCCTGAGCCCTTTCTGGAGCCGCTGGGGTTTGTGTGGGAGGAATTGGCTCCTCCTAAAGTAGCTGGTCTCGGGAAAGGAGATAGAAAGAACCAAAAAAGAGCCCCAATAAAGCCAGCTTTAAAAATAAAGCTGGACTTCAGTAAAGCCTTCTCCTGGAGAAACTGGCTGCTCATGACTTGGACAGTAGTACTCTTTGATGGGTAAAAAAACTGGTTGGAGGGCCAGGTCCAGAGATTGGTGGTGAATGGAGCTAAATCCAGCTGGTGGCCAGTCACAAGTGGTGTTCCCCAGGGCTCGGTATTGGGGCCAGTTCTCTTTAACATCTTTATCTAAATGAGGGGATCAAGTGCACCCTCCATACGTTCACAGACGTCACCAAGTTGGGTGGCAGTGTTGACCTGCTGGAGAAAGGCTTTGCAAAAGGATCTGGACAGGCTGGATGGATGGGTCAAGGCCAATGGGATGAGGTTCAACAAGTGCCAGGTCCTGGCCTTGGGTCACACCAACCCCCTGCAGCGCTACAGGCTGGGGGCAGAGTGGCTGAAGCTGCCTGGCAGAAAAGGACCTGGGGGTGTTGGTGGACTGTTGGCTGAACATGAGCCAGCAGTGTGCCCAGGTGGCCAAGGAGGCCACCAGCATCCTGGCCTGTGGTGAGTAGGACTCAGGAGGTGATTGTCCCCCTGTCCTGGGCACTTGTGAGGCCCCACCTCAAGTGCTATGTCCAGTTTTGGGCCCCTTACTAGAAGAAGGACATTGAGGTGCTGAAGTGGGTCCAGAGAAGGTTAGCAAAGCTGGTGAGGGGTCTAGAGGACAAGTCCTGTGAGGGGAGGCTGGTGTTGTTCTGCCCAGAGAAAAGGAGGCTGAGGGGAGACCCCTGTGAGGGGAGGCTGGCATTGCTCTGCCTGGAGAGAAGGAGGCTGAGGGGAGACCTTCTTGCTCTTTACAGCTCCCTGAATGGAGGGTGTAGAGAGGTGGGGGTTGGTCTCTTCTCTCAAGGAACAGGTGATGGGACAGGACAAAATGGTCGCAAGTTATGCCAGGGGAGGTTTAGGTTGGATATTAGGAAAAACTTGTTCACTGAAAGGGTTGTTCAACCATTGGAAGAAGATGCCCTCCACCATCTCTGGAGGTATTTAACAGACATGCAGACGTGGTGCTTAGCAATATGGTTTAGTGTTTGTCAGTGTTTGGTTGACGGTTGGACTCGATCTGAAAGGTCCCTTCCAACCTTGACAATTCTATGATTCTCTAAAAACCCCAGGTGACGTGCAGGAACCCTGCCCATGGCCCAATGATGCTGTGGCAGGGAAATCAGATGGTCCACGCTTGGCTGCTGTCACCAGACCATCCCCAGAACCCTTCACCACCTCTCAGTATGTGCAAGCCGCATGGGCCACGGCCATGCCAGGCTGGTCCGTGCCATGCTGCCTGCCCAAACACGTTGGTGATGCAATCCCCAGCGTTACACCACAGCCAGTCACCCATGGCATCATCCCAGGGGATGCACCGAGCATCCTGCCAACACCAGGGAAGGAAGGGCCATTAATTGCAAAGTTAATTAGTAAGCAGATTTAAGTAAACTTTTAAACTGAAAGTAAGAAAATAAAACAGACAAGCACTTTTCCCCACAGAGCCCTTCTGCTGGCACGGATGTCCTCTCCCTGGGGACATCTCCCTCCCCCGGGCACCACCGTGGGGATGCACCTCGCCAGGACAAACCCTACCAGCTGAGGTGGGGCTTCCCCTTCACAGGGCCCCAGTAGCACCCAGCTGTGTCACCTGATGCAGTGCCAGGCATGGAGAGACCTCTAGTGCTCCTTCAGGAGATGACAAGCCACCAGCTCTGTCCTCACCCAGCAAGGGAGGTTTTTTTACAGATGCTGCTCACACAACCACTACATGGACCCTGTGCAGCTCTTTCACCAGCAACCTGCACGGCTTGATCCACCGTCACCACTCAACGAGGTCTTCTCCATCACACAGCCATGGACACAGAGACCAACCTAGGATCAACACTGGGCTTTCTTCCCCATTGCTGTCCTCCTGGAACTCCACCACCCTCCTGGGAGCCACCAAGCAAGGTGGGAGCCTTTGCTCCCCACCTTAGGCAGGCTGAGCCAGCATTTAGTGACCCCCATGGAGATATGCCCAGGGTGAATCAGCTCTGCTAGGTCAAGGAGGCTGTCTCTGCACCCATGGTACCCAAGAGCCCAGGACCACAGCTGAAGCATCTCCAGCTGCTATAAACCTCGCTCCAAGTGCTCTCTCTATGGGAGGTTGCACAGGCATTGCTTAGGTCTTCCTTAATGATGCACCAAGGTGTAACAGTGAGGCCACGTCCTTCCCCAGGGCATCAGGTCAGCCTTCTTGCCAAAGGTAGGAATTACGGGAAAAGGTCCCTGCAGAGGCTGCACCTGGAGTTAAAAATCTGCAGAAAGCAAACAGGAGGGGACTTGTGCTGGCCTACACCCGGCTTTGAAACCCTTCACCTCTACCTGCCCCACCCCAAAAACCAGCAATTAACCAGCACGAACCTGCTCCCCCTGCAGCAGCGATCCCAAGAAGGCTCCTGAGCTGTGCCTGGGGGGAACTAACCTTGTTAGGGCCAAAGGAGCAGTGCTGGCCCAGCACTGGGCAAACCTGTGGTAGATAAGCTGCTGGTACACCTCTGCCAGCCAGCAAAGCACCAGGGATGGGGCGAGATGTGGGCAAGAACAACCCCTTTCCACCTTGGCAATCAGAGAGCACACAGCTCCCAGTTTAGCCTGGGCAGAGAGAGGGGCAAAAACCTTTAACCAGAAGTTTTTAACCAAAACCATGAAGCACAAGGTTTGAGTTCATGAAACTCAGGGCCTAGGTGAGCAGTGTTCATGAAATGCAGTTATTCCCATCCCACCAGGTGCCCTAGAGCCTGTCTTAAGAGGAACCACAAGCATTTTTTTCCCAGCTTTTTTTTTTTTAATTATTATTAATTGTGTAAGAAATGCAGCAAGTTTCTCAGCTGTTACTGTGATTCTTATCCTCACGTGCAATCCAACCACCATCAGGCTGAAACTGAACCCTTCCAGCACCGAGGGCACAGCACTGAGCAGACCAGGGGACCACCATGGACAGGAACCCAAGAGCAGGCATAAACCCCCCATCTGCTTTCCACAGACGATCAAAGTTTTAATCACCAAAAATCAGCATTAATTTTCCCCAAGGAATAACAGTGGTTACAAGTGGGGTATTAGGACATAACCCACTTTCTCCTTCCCTTCCAGCACCAGCCCAGGAGAAGGGTTTTCCTCTCACCGTCCCTTGCACCCCAGCACGCAGACGTGCCTCACCCAGAACTCCACTGGGGTTTCACGAGAAGAAACTCCCATGATCTCCAGCATCCTGAAACAAGAAGCAGAGGAAGAGTCTCGTGACATTCACAACCAGAGACAGGTCTCTTCCACCCAAAGCACCAAGGTCTCAATGGCAGACGCTTCCAACACACCCATAAGCCTTGGTCAGTGAAGAAGTTGGCAGGCACAGGGATGCCCTCCCTTCATGACTGTGCAGCAGGTCCTTGTTGTGGGCCAAAAGAGCTTCGTTAAGGTGCAACCACCAATATTTCCCTCTTCTCTGCTAATCAAGAGCAAGGCAGAGAAACTCAGGAGACCTTCAACATGAGACTGACATGTGCAAGAACACCATACAGCTACATAGACCTAGTATTTAAGTCAAGTGACACAGACTGAGGTCAGTTATGCTGTGAGCAGCTGAGGATCTGCTGTTTAACCCCTGACAAGTTTCCATCCACACCTGGGGGGAAGGAAGGAACATATCACTGCACAGCTCACTTCTAGCTTTGAAGAGGTCTCCACAACCTCACACTTCATTCACTGTCTAAGAGAGGTCTTCCATGTCCTGCTTGTTTTCCCAACCGGTTTTCTTACCTCTTTTCGGTCTCTTGGAGGAGGGATTTGGCAGCTTCAGGATCACTCTTCATAAAGGCTTGATATGGAGAGACAGACTCCAGGTAACCAACCACACCAGCAACGGTCATGGGAATTTTGTCAAAGATATCAGTGATTCTAGAAGGGAGATGGGGAAGAAGGGAGTTTTGGCAAGTTAAATCTCCAAAGTGGTGCAACAAGGACAACAAATTGAGGTGGTGGTGAACAAGATACCTGACCCAATCAAACGTCCAACAGATGGAAACATCTCATTGTAGCGTTTGGTGGGTTAGAAGCTCTATCTGATGGGCTACTGAAGAAGCAGAGATCATCCCAGGAATAATCTAATTTAGTTTGTGACTTGAACAGACCTACCTGCAGATCCCATTCCCCCTCCAGCACTGGGACACCAGCACCTCTGCAACACCACCACCAATGCATCCTTTTTGCCTCTGGAGTCAGCTCCTTCCTCATACCTTAGTGGGGAAGCAGGCACTGGCTCCCTGGAGCAGGTTCTTTCTCTCACTCCTTTATCTAATGAGTGATGTGCCCAGAAGCCTCAAATTATCATAAGCCACCCATTAAAAAAAATAAAATAAATATTGTAACCCAAGTCTGCCTTGAGCAAGAAGGGTCCTTGCAGCCTTTATACCATTTTTCTCCTTCATCTAATAAGTGATCTGCCCAGAAGCCTCAAATTATCATAAACCACCCATTAAAAAAAATAAAATAAATAATGTAACCCAAGTCTGCCTCGAGCAAGAAGGGTCCTTGCAGCCTTTATACCACGTTTGCTGGGCCAATACAGAGCTCCAACAGGACTGGACGTGCAGCCACCTGGCTCTGCCACAACAAAAGGTGTTTGTTGAAACCTGGCAGCTCCTCGCTCTGGCCCCCCCAGCCCCCTCGTGTTCGTGCTGGGCCAGGGGCAGAGCAGCCCCACAGAGGAGCAGAGCCACAGCCTTGACCCACTCCTGGTACTGCACCAAGGGGTTTCTGCTCACCTCTTCTTGTCTGGAAACGGCAAGGCCTCAAAGATGGTTTTGTAGTCTTCCAAGACATGTTTTACTCTCTCATGTGAGTATTTAAAAAGCAGGTCCCAGGACTGTAAAGACAGCAGATTAAAAAAAACAAACACAAACTCACTTGAAGTGCTCTGTTTCCACCAATTCGGGTTTGCTTGGACCTAGATCTGATGCTTTCATATACACATGGCTTTTTTTGCTTTGGGTTTTGTTTTTTTTAAATACTCCTTGCATTAAAAAAAAAAAAAAAAATCACCAAAAATCTTGGTCAGTGTCAGGAGTTCAAGCATCCTATTTTATTATAGATATAAGGGTCCTGTTCTCCTCTCTGCACTGCTGTTACTCATAGTGGAGTGTCTCCTTTTAGTGAGTTACTGAAACATTCTTTGTCAAGAAACATCACCAAGAAAACCTCTTTCCAAACAGGTTCTACTCCCCACTATTTTCACTGTGATCAGGGTGACAGGAAGAGTCTCTGTGACGATACCAGCCCCCGTCCTCCGCTCCGCAGCCCTTCTCTCCACACCACAGCCTGCCCTATTAATCCTGAGGTCCCTCCTCTTCACCTTCAGCCTCCTCTTCACCTTCAGCCAGCCCTAGCACTGCATGGGAGCCACTAAACCCCCATCTCAACCATGTCCCTGTACTTATCCACCCCCCTGCCCCATCCTAGAATCGTAAATTCCATGATCTATCCTCTCCTAGTCCTCTAGTCATACCCACCAAGCCCATCGCCTACCTCTCTGCATCTAAGTATCTCCCCCTGCCCAGACCAGGAGGGGAAGCCCCTCAAGTTGAGGTTTGGTGACCTCACCTCTCTGAAGGCTTTGGTCAGCTTTTCAGAGCAGTTTCCGTAGCGCAGGCTCATGTCCAGAGTGTAGGTGCTGATGGCCACGCAGCCCCCCGGCTTCATCACCCGGTTTGCTTCTCGCATGAACTTCTCGGTATCAAACCAGTGCGCGGCTGTGAAGGACGTCAGGAGGTCCACTGAGGCATCCTCAAAGGGCAGCTCCTCTGCAGGACACACACTGCAGGGGGAAAAAGTTAAAAAAAGACAGTGAGTAATATGAGAATTAGATGGATGTGAAGTCAGTGTGTATTTTTTGGAGTCCACAATGACCACGGTTACTACAAGTCTAGGATGATGCCCATTTCCACCAGGAATACTCTCAAATGGGACTTGCTTTGGTGCTGGCTGGCTCTTACAACCTTCATACTCACAAAACACCACCTCCATGTGAGGACCTGAATTTTTCCTTTGCCTGAGCTTGCTTCCTTGACACTCACAGGTAGGAGACACCCGGCGGGGAGGGCGCATCTCTGGCCTCCTGGATCTGCGCTTCGCTGATATCTGTTCCCACCACCTTCTTGAAGTGCTCTGCGAGGAAGCGGGTGCCTTGTCCAGACCCACAGCCAACATCCACCACCAGCTCAGCAGGGTTTACTCTCTGCAGGGAGGAGTGGAGGCATCTCAGCAGGCAGCCACCCAATTTATGTGCTTTTACCCCCTTCCTTCCCTCAGTGTCCACACAGGAGCAGCCTCAGCATGGCACAACCTGTGGAAAGACTCTTCTGTGCCCACATCTTGCCCTATTTATTTATTCTTCCCCATGGCACCAAGGTAACACTCCCAGAATCACATGGGGTTGGAAGGGACCTCTGGAGATCATCTAGTCCAACCCCCTGCCAAAGCAGGGCCACCCAGAGCAGGTTGCACAGGAACATGTCCAGGTGTGGTTTGAATGTCTCCAGAGGAGGAGACCCCACCACCTCCCTGAGCAGCCTCTTCCAGGGCTCTGCCACCCTCACAGGAAAGAAGTTCCACCTAAACATGAGGAGGAACTTCTTACATTCAAGGTTTGTGCCCATTTCGTCTTGTCCTGTCCCTGGGCACCACTGAAAAAAAGACCAGCCCCATCCTCTTGACACCCTCCCTTTAAGTATTTAGAGGTCTTGATCAATCAGATCCCCCCTCAGCCTTCTCTTCTCCAGACTAAAAAACCCCCAAGTCCCTCAGCCTCTCCTCCTAAGGGAGATGCTCCAGGCCCCTCATCATCTAACACTCCCAGCAGGGTAAATATCTTCTTGTTCCCTACAGCCTGGCCATGCCCCACTCACCTTTTCCTGCAGGTAGGTGAGGATGGTTTGCTGCAGCTCTTTGCCTGGCGCAAACCTGTATTTCTGGTAGACGGCCGCGTGCCCTCTCCCCTCGAACATCTGGGTGGCCATGCTTGGGCGACCTGGCACCTAGGAAGGAGGCAGGAAGCCAGAGATTGTCACCATGGGATCAGGCTCCTCCTTAGCTCGTGACTGCAGGTGCTAAAGTCTCCAGCTCCTGGAAGGGTGCCCCAGGAAGGACTTTGCCCATGAGGCTCCAGCGAGGGAGCGTCAACCTGCTCTCCAAGCGTGCCTCCCACAGGTCTAAGCTAATCATACAGCTCTTTGCCTGGCGCAAACCTGTATTTCTGGTAGACGGCCGCGTGCCCTCTCCCCTCGAACATCTGGGTGGCCATGCTTGGGCGACCTGGCACCTAGGAAGGAGGCAGGAAGCCAGAGATTGTCACCATGGGATCAGGCTCCTCCTTAGCTCGTGACTGCAGGTGCTAAAGTCTCCAGCTCCTGGAAGGGTGCCCCAGGAAGGACTTTGCCCATGAGGCTCCAGCGAGGGAGCGTCAACCTGCTCTCCAAGCGTGCCTCCCACAGGTCTAAGCTAATCATAGAAACAAACCAGCAGTGACCAACAAGGAAAGGTTTTCAAATCCTTCTCCTTACTCCTTTGCTTTCCCACCCACCCGGGTGCCTCCTGAAAAATCACTGTTAGAGCTGGAAGATCCAGGAGTTTGGGGAGGACTGAGCAGAGCATTGGAAAAACTAACAGCAGAAAAGTTTGGAGAGTTGGGGTTTTTTTTAATGAAATCCATGTTTCAGTATTAGCAACTGAAAAAGGCTGAGGGACCTGGGTCTTTTTAGTCTGGAGAAGAGAAGGCTGAGGGGGGATCTGATCAATGCTGATAAATACTTAAAGGGAGGGTGTCCAGAGGATGGCGCTGGCCTATTTTCAGTGGTGCCAAGGGACAGGACAAGACGAAATGGGCACAAACTTGAATGTAAGAAGTTCCACCTCAACATGAGGAAGAACTTCTTTCCTGTGAGGGTGGCAGAGCCCTGGCAGAGGCTGCCCAGGGAGGTGGTGGAGTCTCCTTCTCTGGAGACATTCCAAACCCACCTGGACACGTTCCTGTGGGACCTGCTTTGGGTGGCCCTGCTTTGGCAAGGGGGTTGGACTAGATGATCTCCAGAGGTCCCTTCCCACCCCATGGGATTCTGTGATTCTGTAACAGGGTCACAGCAACTCCACCCTGCCCTTTACCGACCCACTGCTGCCCCAGAGATGCTCAGGGCCTCTTTTTAACCCCACGAAATCCACACACAC